ATTGAGCTTTGTTGTCGAGATAAGAATTTGCATCCGTTATATACGCAGCTTTATCCGTTCTGCGAGAGAAACTTGTAGCAATTTGTCTTACGGAATGTAACACTTTCCCGTTTAATCCGGTTGGCAGGACTAACGAGCGATACGCCGTTGTAAAAAAAAAAAGAGCAAAATGTCACGATGGGAAGTTTTAACGATGTATCGATGGAGAGCTCGCGTGCGAATTTATGGCTAAATCGTAGATATTTTGACGACAGGAATATATGTGCGAAATGTGACTATTGTTTATACACCTTAGTGTGCGTAAGATTAAATCGTGAATATCATGTAGTCTTCATTTCGAAAAGATTTGACTTTTGTAAGTATACGACAAAGTAGCAAGTGTATGCCTTATCAAATAATTTTACATAAAAGTATTAATCGATACTTTATACAGAGCGACTAGAAGAATGATAATTCATACGCGTGTTGTATAGATTAAGTGTGTTTTTTTATGTAAATGCATATTTAAGAAAAATTGTATTATTGAAGTACTGCTTTTTAAAACAAGAATTGAGAAAAAATTTGATATAAAGAAATATCAACGTCAACCTCGAGTGAAAAAGGATTTTGTCGTTTGTGTTTTATTTACCGAAAGGCATCGAGCTTTGCTTCGCTGTACTCTAAGATGCTTTTAATATTACAGTAAAATGGAATAAAAATGATTTCTGTAATAGAGAGATACTTTCGTCGTATTCCTTTCGCTGGAGCGCGAGAATTTTAATCGCAAGCGAGAAATTCAAAAAGCGCATCGATCGCGTCCGAATCGTCCTACTTTTCTCGTTTGTTTGTCCGTTCGATCTAGATGGATAAATTGCGTTGTCGACATGCGTTTAATTGCACGCTCATCGGATCAACGTTGGCCAAATTTGGAATCGAATCTATACGATACGATTGATAAAATAACAGATTGCTTTTGACTGCTCGTTTAATAGAATGTGGAACTACACGCCGGATATTGAAAAGAAATCCAGGTTTGTTCCATATTCCCTATATTCCGTTTCAGGAAATGTTATAAAAGATGTTTTTATAGTACTTTGTTCATTTCTCGATTACATTCTTTCGCGAAACGGTGCCGTTGATTTCTTTCACGGATTTGACTGTGTTTTATAGCATACGATTATTATGAATTAATAGAGCTGAATGAAGGGTCGACGAGAATGGATCATAAAAGGTAAGTTGCACTCCTGGATAAATATAAAACAACAAAAGCCCTGATATATTCTAAATATAAAGTAAAATATATAATATAGAATATAAAATATATAAATAGAAAACTATCAGAAATGATTAGTGCAAAATTGTTAGAATTTTAATCCTTTTTTCTAACAATTATAAATTGTCATATAAAATATATTTGATTTAGTTTTCTATTCATATATTTTATATTCTGTTCTATTATATATTCTACTTTGTATTTATATTTTATCAGGAAAGCGCGCAACTATCCCTTTTGATTTATTCCTCGTATATTAACCAATTTAGTGGCAATAAATGGATGGGAGTGACAATTTGTGCAACTGTCACACTCATAGAGGAAACAGAGTGTTTCTGTAGTGGCACACGGGTGCATGTGGCTAACATGTCTCTCGTTTCGTGTGTCATGGTGTTTCGAGAATCTTGTCGCGAGATTTTATACCTTTCCCACGTGTGTCGAGTAGTGACGCCCTAAAGTGTCTTGTAAAGAGAACAAGCTGGAGAAAAACAAACAATCATAAGAATCCACGGCCGGCGTTATCGATCAATTTTGTAATCGTGTCGATTTTTCAACGAAAATTCGAATACTGAATAAAAGAATGAAACGAGATGACTAACCGAACGGAAGCGGACATTCGTTTTCTTGGACCGAGACATCCTTCGACGTATCGCTCACTTGTCTCAAGGCGAGGATCAAAGAGATTATAATTCTTTTATATTATATATTTTATAACATTTTGTTCGTAACATAAATTTCATCAATTATTCGCGAATTTTTTATGTATTTACGACACGTAAATATATAATATATATATAAATATATAAATATATATTATATAATATATTATATAATATATATATATATATATATATATTATAATATAATATATTATCTATTATATATTTAGATATCTATATATTATATAATATATTATATTATATAATATAATATATTATATAATATATATATATATATATATATATATATATATAATATGTATTTATATATATATATTGAATATATTTGCGAATCTTGCTAGAATGAAAGGTCGAATAAAAGTAAGTTTCGATGTGATTTGCGCATGATTATCTTGTCTTTTTCCAATGACGGAATTAATCCGGAGTGCAACAGGATATACCGCTTAACAAACACAGGACGACGGTGCAATTCCATCCGACATGCAATGGTAAATCTCTCGAATCGTCTCTGTACGCGCACTCCATTACAGTCTGACATCGCGGACACCGGATAAGCTCGTCGATCCTCGCCTGGACAGCAAACACGAGCCGCATTGACGGATGCGTTCAGGTAGTAGCTCCTGCGATTTCTCGGACGCGGAATCGCGGAACGATATTGAGAACGAGCCGACCGCGAGCGCGACGTAATCACGATTGGAGAAATGGTGGTGAATAAAATAACACTGCAGTCCACACCACGTAACAATATCCAAATATACGTACGTATGTATATCTATAGGGTGCCCCGTATTTTTCTTTCATTTACGGATTTCTCGATCAATTCCGGAGTTGATCTCTCTCGAAGGTACACCGAGACGTCGTCGATGAAATTTGATTCAGTCATCGAGAAACGTATATACGAATCCGGAGTGCATGCATCGTGCAAACAAGTAACGAAAAGCGTTTATCCTTCGTTCACTCTCTCTCTCTCTCTCTCTCTCTCTCTCTCTCTCTCTCTCTCTCTCTCTCTTTCTCGGGGAGTTTCGGTTTGAAAAATGAAAGGTTAAAAATTTCCAAGATAAAAAGAGTAATAAGAAGAATCGATCGACTTAATGGATCGACTTGAAAAATTGATAAAGAAATCCCATGACGGAGGGAGTTATCCGGCGCACCCTGTATACATGCGTAGAGATAGACGGATGAATATATATGTAAATATATACGTAAATATATATATATATATATGTATCACGTGACACGTCCAAGACTAGCGGCATCGCAAGTAAAAACGATTACGGGTGATCGAGGAAGGCATTCTTTGACAATGAGAACACAAAATGGTAAAAAGAAACGAGCTAAAGGATAACGTTAGAGTAGACCGATGATGAGCAAGTATTCTCGAGACTAAATGCTTGGCGACTGCGCTTCTCGTGCTCGTTGCGTTGTGGTAGTGCGGCACGGCACCTTAAAGCCGTCATAGGTCCAGGAGCCTAACTTCAAAACACAGGTCTGTACGTCGTACGGAAAGAACTCAACGTCGATGGAGCAGGAGGATTTATATACGGCCGGCGGTTGCCACACGACCAATCCCGAATAGTAGACCGTGGCCTTGGTCATCAGTGTCACCTCGTAGTTGCCATCGGCGCTGGAATCACCGAAGAAACGAGCCGAGCGTGATCACGATGGGCTCGGAGAGAAGGTCTCCGGATGCTGCCGCCCTTTATCTATCTTTTCTCCCGCTATCTCTCTCTCTTTCTCCTCCGAACTCGTCGCTTTTGACACATTCACACGGTTATCGTGCTACATTCGCGGAACGACTTTTCGATTAAAAATTTCGAAATGGAAAACCGATACCTCGATCGACTCTCGAAAAGGCCGATGGTTTCAACAATTTACAGATTGCATTTTTTTTTCTCTCTCGACATTTTTTATATTTTGTTATACAGAGTGTGTCTAAATAAGTGTGATCGGTTTTTGGAGATGATTCTTTGTTGAAAATTAAGAAGGCTTCTTTAGAGAAACTTATATCTCTATCTAAAGAGTTACACTTTTTTCAAAAGGGAGGTTTTTAGGAAAATTAAAACATTACACTTGGTGGATATTTTTCAATAATAAAAAGATAATTATTAATATTATTCGTTGTCGAAAATTAAGGGAAGTTATAAAATTTCTGGCAAATTAATAAAATGAAACGTGACAGATATTTTTGACTAATAAAACGAATATTTATTAATATTAGATGATTCTTGGTTGAAAATTATAAAGGGGGTTTTTTATATAAATATATACTCTTATATTCCTCTCTAAAGACTTTTCTAAATAGGGAGGTTTTCAGCCAAATTAAAATTTTAGGAAGATGCGAAAATAAAACTTGTGGATATTTTCCGTTTTTTTCTTTAATTTGTCTAAAATTTAAGAAAGCAATCTCTAAGAAAGTGTAATTCTTCAGGGAGGGATATAAAATTATATGTTTATATAAAAAACGCTCCTTAATTTTCGACAAGAAATCATCTAAAAATTTTCGCACTTATTTAGATGCACCCTGTACATTATAATAATGACTGATTTTATGGTTTGAATAAAAATGAAAATTATATAACACGATCTTTTTCCCGAGGCAAGATTTTGATCCAAAAAATTACTGATAATAATATTGATCCCTCTTTATTATTTTGTAAGAAAACTCGATTAAATGTACAAAAATTTTCAAAATTGATGACGATTTATTATCCGCGCGACAGTGTCACTTCGGGGGAGCTACGTGGCAGCATCCGTCTTCCGGGGTGTGATTTCCGGCACTTTCTCCGGTTTCTCCCTCTCGATCGATCGGAGACCCACGCGGCGAGCCGATCGTCTGTGAGATCTAATCTAAGCTTAAGATCTACAGCTGATTTCCATCCCGAAGACGCATCCCGCACGAGGCTACGTCGGATCCGCGTCTCGGGCATTTCGTGGGAGGCTCGATATATCTGGGGGATTATTATCGAGGGGGGCATCGAGAGGGAGGTGCGAGGGGGTTGGGGGTGGTTGGGGTTGGGAGGAACTGGGTCTCGAGGGTCCACGACTTAACGGCTACCATGCGAATTTACCTTGAAGCCGTCATAGGTCCACGAACCGAACTTGAGGACGCAGGTCTGCTCGTCGAATGGGAAGTACTCCACGTCGATCTCGCACGATGACTTATATATGGCGGGCGGCTTCCACTCGACCAATCCTTGATGGTAGATCGTGGCCTTCGTGGCCAAGGTCACCTCGAAGTTGCCGTCCGCGCTGCGAGCGAGCACATTAGTGGTTCTGGGCGCTGCGGCGGTCGAGCTTACTTTGTACTTCCGATTCGATATCAAGCCGTCTTTTTTTCTTTTTATTTTATTTTTTTATTTATTTCTGTGCGTGTATACGTATGTGTATGCGTCTGATTATACAGGGTGTCCAGCAGACTCAATGAAAAAAATTCCCTGACTTTTTGGTATTATTTTTTCCAAATATATAATTTGCATTTAATTAAATGTTGAATCGTGAAATTCTTGAGGTATTTTTGTCAACAATGAAAAGATTTGGAAGTTGAGAAAACAAAAATTTAAATCAATTATACAATCTGCATTATGTACGACAATCGAAACAAATATGTCACTATAAACTATTTAAATAATCACTTTTTTTATTTATATTATACATTTTATATATTATATTAAATTTCAAATTATTGAGACAAATGTAAAATAATGTGAAAAAATCCAGATAAATAAAATTTTCTGACTCTCTTCCCTGACAATTTCAGATTTATAAAATTCCCTGACCGCTAGACACTTGTTATATACGGTAATCGTAAGATAGAGGCAAACAGAGTTCTTACGAGATTCTTGGATTTACGTATAGCGAATCTGGTAATTTAATCGAAAAACTGATTCTGATGAACGATTGAGGGGAAAATAAATGTGCATAAACAAAAGTGATTTTTTGTCGGATCGAGGATTAAATGAAAACGATCTTTCCGCAACATTAATCCGGATACAGGAATTATCTGACTCGCGAAGCACTCGTTAAATCGGATCAGATTATCGCACCATTACGGGAGCAGGCTCTTATTTCGATCCACTAAGCCCAAAAGCTGAGACATATATCGATAATCCGATTGTAACCGATTAACAGCGATTTTCGCCGTTCCTTTCTTGATTATCATCCTATTATCAAAATTTAGATAAGAATAAAACAATTTATTTTGTTTATTATATTTAGCGCTTTCTCTAGACACTAATATATTATCTGTTTTTTTTTTCTTAATTTAATTTTGTGTCATATAATATTGATTAGAACGCGAAAAAGGACGATTTTTTTCTAGTTTTAATTCATAATTGATGTAATTTTAAGAGATTACGTTCATTATCGAATTATTCCACCTGACGATTCTATACGTCAGAAATAACAATGTTTCTAAGCTAGAGAAACCCATCTCAGCGAATGTTAGATCGTTATAACGCAAATATAGATATCCGCAGCCGTAGAATTCCATCGACTATCGAGAATCGAAGTATCGGCCACATGGGGCTGCGAGGTAAACTAAGCGGGATGGTCGAGTTTCCTAAAGTCGGAGGGAGAATCCGGAGGTACTAAGTCATCGTGGATGATTGTGGAGTGTCGGGATTATTTTGCTATCGACTTCCTTTCCTCCGTCGCGGGCTATCTGCCAATCCGAAAGTTACGATCAAGACGGGGAATATAGTTTACCAGCAGTTGCTGAGAGAGTTGCCGCAAATTATTGAGAAAACGCAATTTTGCACTGGCTTAACTGGGAAATTGTTGGTCTTGTCAGTTGTCTTATCCAACTGTGCGTATCGAACAATTGTGCTCATTTAACGCCCAAGTATTATTCATGCTTCGAAAATTACGCGATAAATTTATTTAATATAGATGTGGCTTAAATAAAATTTCTCACAATGTAATATAATTAAGTCCTTTGCAATTAATTTTTATGTGATGGCTCTCTTTGAAAATAAATATAAATAGCATGCATGACGTAAAATATTAATGCATTTAATTAATATATATATATATATATATATATATATATATATATATATATATAATGAAAGATATCACAAATATATAGATAGAAAGAAAATAATTTTTGCTCTTCTTTTGTTTAAAAAATATAATGTGATAAAGATCCTAATTTAAAGATAACATTTTAAATTTATTCATTATTTTTTATGATTTATTTATTTTTATTATAATTATTATTTATTTATTATTATTTATTGTATATTCAAATTGAATCGGTTAAATTTCATTGGACGATTTTATTTGATCATTTTGATAGATACGAGGAATGATAAATTGCTTCGTTCTCGTATGGCTCAACTTTTTAGTGATACGTCTCCGCGTAGAGGCAGCCTCGATTGCATCGATCGTATCGGCGGGATACTTTTTCGTCCCGAGTGTGTCGCCAAGTTTTCCACCGTATAACGCTTCGAAAGGGGAAACAAACTGCATTAATAATACAGCCTGCCTTGTCGAACAGTTTATTCTGCCGACTTATTCAACGTGCTCGCATGCAATTTTGCTGAGTACCTGTCGTAAATAAATAAAAGCACTGTTTATCCGTATAAAGTAAATGAATATATACGAATTGCGTTCCTTCACGTTTTGTGTGTGTTCAGTCGTAAGTCCGAGAGCATTATAATCTTTCTTCCTGATACATACGTGATCATTTTTCACAGATATTAACCGAGCTCACTCGGGGCACAGGATTGCTATACGGAGAGAAGATTTGCTCGAGATGAGACGAGGAATTTCCGCTGAAAATTTCACGAGCTACAATTCAATGTCTCGTGGATTTTTTATCCATCCTATTAATTATGAAAAATATTTTTCATCCATTTTTCATTATATTAGACATTCACATGTGTAATTTAAAGACCACGGCTTGCAATTGTAACAATAGCGTGTGCGATACATTTATTCTCCGCCAGTAGGTAAAATATCTCGCGCGAGAATATATTTTTCTTCTCTCATCTTCCTTGCAGACTAGCAGATCGTAGATCTATGTGCAAATGCACAGATGCTTCCCGGCACTACGTGTCTCGAATTTCCGGTGGGATGGGAAAGAGCGCGGACTGCTATTCCGGGTTTGCGCGACACACGTGAAGCCCAGAGATATCGGAGGACGCTCGTAAAGATTCTGCGAAAGAATTCCTAATCGGGACAGCTCCGTCTTCCGCACGATCGCGTTACGATTATCGGGACGGGAGAATTGATTCTCGCGCGTCAAACGCGATCTAACAGGATTACATCATTGCGCAGAATATGATACGAGGCGTGGCGTGTAGTCTCTTTGTTGTGCGAACCCTTCGCTTGTCGAAATCAATTTATAGCCGTGATGGAGAAATCCTCTCTCTCTCTCTCTCTCTCTCTCTCTCTCTCTCTCTCTCTCTCTCTCTCTCTCTCTCTCTCTCTCTCTCTCTCTGCTCTCGTGCACAAAGAGCTATCGATTTGCCTGACAGCAGGTCTGAGATACGTTCAAATGGCATCATTGAGATCGATTGCCAAATACGCCAGCCCTTTCTCATTCATGTCAGTTGTGAGCTTTTTCGTACATTATTTGATTTTATATCTAACGTTTTAAATAAAATTAAGCCACGCGCAAAAATTTATTGAATAAATATTTATTTCTCGATACACTGCCTAATAAATCATTTATTTGAAACTAAAAATATTGAAAAATTGATCGATCGCGAGCTTTTTCGTACATTATTTGATTTTATGTCGATTTTATCTAACATAATTTAAAATAAAATCAAGCCACAAAAAAATTTATTTCAATATACTGCCTAATAAATCATTTATTTGAAACTAAAAATATTGATGGATTGTGACAAATATTTATATGATATGAGAAAATCCTTTTCTAAACAGATAAATATTTATTAGTTTCAAATAAATGATTTATTAGGTAATATATTGAAATAAATATTTATTATATAATTTAATAATTATTTCAGTGCAAAATTACGAGACAAATCTTTTAAATCAAATTAAAGAAACAGGGACAATAAATGATATAAATATAGATACAGATCGTTAAATATTTTTACTTTTCTGCTTTAAAAAAAAAAATGGCGAAAAAAGTCAAGTTGCTTGAAAGCGATACGATGTACAGTCGCTTACACGATTGATTCGAGATTAAGAATGATGGATTTCAATTCTCTTGTTAATCCGGATCAAGTGTACATTTGCCGCTGCACATTTTGATTTCGAGTCTATATACAAGCGCCATCCCGCCGTGTATCGCAATTTGCATATGTACCCGTTCTCGTCTATCTTCAGATATATACAAACGCGAAATCGCAATTTCCTGCAGCGAGAGCTGCCAATGATTCTCGATGAAGATTTACCGCAAAATGTGCGTCGCGCGATAAAAACCTTTTTGGACGCGAGCTCGCGTGAAAATGGAGGTTCTCGCGTTACCCATCAACCGCAAAGTGATACGATATCACGTTATATGTGTCATATACCTATTCTTTACCGAGTGTGCCTTAAATTCTTGTCCTAATATTTCAGGCAAATGCTTCAAGTTGAGATAAGAAGGATGAAAGATTGTCGATATTAACACGAAGCTGTTATTAATTTGCATTTTTAATTTTAAGACATTTAATTTATACCTAAAATATTGTATAAAATAAAAATTTGATAATTTATTGAAAATATAATTTTTAGTAAAAATTTGTATTTTAATTACTACGAGATTTATTGTAATGAAAAAATTAGAAATTAAGAAAGATGACGATCAAATTTTGAATAAAATGTGTTGCATTTATCGAGAGATATGTCGCTCAAAGAGGCAGTTAAAATTGCAATTATTGCGGATGATGAAAAGCACCGCGTAGTATAAACTTATTCATCTCCATTCTGATATTAAGGGATATTCACAGAGTAGTATATAGAGCTGTAAAAATCACTCGAATTAAAACGTTTCCGCGTGTCGATGAATCACCATCATTTTCCGATGCATGGAATATGAGACAAAAAAATTCACATACTGCGCACGGAAAATAATTGACGAATCGAAATGTACCGGAATAAAGAGAGACAGTAAAACGGAGGGAGGGAAATGTCGAGGACGAAATGAAAAATCACTTTTACTGGGGCAGTCTGTCGAAGTGTCCATTATCAGGAAAGGTGCAGGCACCGATATTTCACGGAATTAACCGGCAACGACCAGATATAGCCGTTGAAAAATAGCCTCGCCTTTACCGTTTCCGGCGGAAATGGTACCAGCACCAAGAGAACTCTATCAAGAAC